TCTCTCTCTCTCTCTCTCTCTTGCTCTCTCATCTCTTCCCTTCTCTCTCTCTCTCTCTCTCTCTCTCTCTCTCCCACACAGGACACATTATTTGCCCCAGCCCTCCCCGCCCCGTTTACTCTTCACGTAGTACAAGGTGTTTCGGGCCTGAAGACGGGCCGGCCAAGCTGTGTCGTTCGTTGTCGCACACGGCACCAGATAAAGCTCTCGCAACTTGCCTCCCTTTTCGGCTCGGAGCGGGAGATAAGCGAGAAGCGAGAGACGAGAGAGCGGGCGGGCGGGCGTCTGAACTGTGTGTGCGGGCGACTGACTGAAGCCTGTTGTGCACTGCACTGACTAGATCGCAGTTCGCGACAGGCGACAACGTCAGCTTTCAGGTCTTGATCGTGAACCCGTCGGACTATCGCTATCAGTTTCTCTGTTTTGCTACTCCAGTAGTTGCTGTAGTGGTAGATCTAGTTCCTCTGTGTTGTATTCCATGTAAGTGTGATTGTAGAACATATCGGATCAATTCTCTCTAGTTACATTTGTGATATTATTGCAGTTACTATTCTCGCCGAGGATTGGCGAGGGAGTTAAATCAGTGACTTCTACAGAGCGCTTCTTTTCTTCAAAGACGGTTCTGAGATACATCGGAACGTTCAGCCAGGTAAGGAGAAATGTTATAAAGCTCTTTACGTGTCTCCGTTTTAAAGAGTTCATGACTCAGTAAATCACTGTGACCGCTGGTCGCTTCTTCCTCGCTGTGTTCGTGGAGACAGACATTTTTATGATTTCAGACGAATGTAGACTGTCAGTATTTACGGTATGTTATTACTAAGCTACTTAGCAGACTTCGGTTGGCACAACACTACACTTTACGACTCTTGGCCTAGGCTAGATCTAGTCTTTGTTTACGAAAGTCGGTTCTTGTGTTTACACTTTACACGTTAGTTTAACTCTGTTGTGTTGGAAATGTTTTATTTTAATGTTTGAGTCTAGATCTAGATCTTTGCTGGTTGGGGGGGGGGGGGTAACAGGATTGGGAATTTGTGTTGTTTATATTGCTCAATGTTTGTTATGGCCGTGTGTGGGGATCAATTAGCCTATTGTATAAACACGTGAACAGGCAGTAACGTGTGCTGGATTAGCGGAACATCTAAATTGTGTTAAGTGATGGCTTTTTTAAATGGAGTGGAAGGCTATTCATCGCGTTTTCGCACACGCTGATATGGGTGTTTTAACAGAAATCAATAAATATCGAAGGAGATCGAATGTTTTCTTACTGTTAAAGGCTCTGTTTTGCTCTTCTTTAGATTTTTTTTTATCGCCTGCAAACTTTTGCCTATAATGGGTGCTCTTTGTTTACGTGTGTATTACATTTTACCGATAAAAGAGCTTCGTTTTATTGGTTAATATGTTATATTAACTGCTGAAAATCGACAGTTTATTCTTGAAAATTAAAGTTCCACTGCGTGTTTGCTTTGTGAAAGAAATAGATAAATGCAAACATAAATTGTTGGGGTTTAAAAATTATGATTTAACGTGACAGACAGTACTTGAAAGCACCGAGAAGGAAGAAAAAGTTAAAGCATGCCGTTCCTTATGGATAACATGTTATCTCATCGGGCCAGATGAAAACACAGATACTCTGTACATAGATCTAGTTATCTCTGCAGAATGGCTGATTTCTGTTGAAGTACTCACCCCATATATTATTATATAGATCTACTCTCTTTTTGGCTCACACCGATTTTTATTGAAGTCCCTGTCAAGTCTTGCTTTCTTGAATTTGTCATTTTTTAATAGTTTGTCTTTTTTTTTTGTTTCGTCTTTAAGTGCGTGGAAACAGGTGCTTTTTAAAAAAACAGCTAGATTAGTAAAAAAGCTGCTTAGGAAAGAAGAAGAAGAAGAAGAAGAAGAAGAAGAAGAAGAAGAAGAAGAAGAAGAA